TTAACTACTATAAGTCTCAGTTTTCCTTTTATCAAAACTTTTAGGAATTTCATTTCTAAAATGAAATTTGACTGCTTTATAGTAGGATCTATTTGATTTAAAAAAGATAATTTTCAGGACAAATAAACTTTTTATTTAAGTTCTCCAAAAATCGTTTTGATGAATACACTTTATACAATTGTCTTTCCAAGTTCATTGGGATCCTATGTGTAATCATTTTCTTTATTACAGTCTGTCTCTCAAGTTGCACATTTTAGAATTTAATTAATTGTGTTACTAATGATCATTTACACCCCTGACTCACTACACTTTACCTCTAGTGTGGCCTAAGTTTGAAGGAAAATTTATTTTTCTTTTAGAATTTATGAAGTGAAAAGAAAGAACAATGTAGATTTGGTTTTAAATATAATTGGAAAATTCTTTGAAAAATTATACATTGTCTTATAAAAGATGTTGTACTATGAAGATAGAAACTAAGGAAGAAAAAGAAATAAAAAAAGAAAATAAAAAGCCCTACTTACCAGGTGTGAAATTGTATCGAGCTGAAAATCCCATAGATTCCAGCTCTCCATCAGCAAAAAATTTAATCCATAGAAATCTTCCACTGGATTTAATTACAGGTGGATTTTGTTGTCCACAGAAACGTCCAATAATTGGAGAAAAGCCAAAAGGTCCATCTCGAACTTCAATATGATCAAATTTGCACTCCCAAGACGGTTCAATAGAGTACTTTTCATCAAAATAAAGTTCAATGCACTGTCTTGGAGCAGCTGTAAAAAAGAAAGATTATGTCTTGAAGGGCATTTCTTAAATCTTTAGGTTGATTTTACTGATTTTGTTTCAGGTTTTATTTGTATGCTCTCTGTCAATGTCTGTAAATGATATACACAGGAATGCATATGATACTTAGTATTTTCAGGGATAACATTTTTATTTAAAAATGTTTAAGGGGTGGCCCTCAAAATTAACAGTGTTGCACAAAATATTATCCTGATATAAAATGGCAATTTCAATGTCTAACCCAGAATTTACAAATTGCAACATTTCTGTGAAAGTTTGCTAACTTAGTTTTAGAAGGTAGAGGGGCATCTTTCTGTCTCTTTTCTTATATCCTTTGAAATACTTAGGTTTGAGGTCAGAAACCACTTGAGCATTATTCAGCATAGAGTTCTAAAACCATTCAAATAAACCCAGTCAAATATGTTGATTAGATGCAAGTACATATAAAAAGATATCAAGAGTAATTTTTCTAGAATATAAATCTGGTCACATCACGCAGGTTTAAACCTCACCAGCTGACTATAAGCTGCAGAACAATGATCAACAACACATCTGACATATAAGATCCTTAAGGATATCCTCCTTCCAAGGTCTTATTATCTCACAGACAGCCCAAGCTAAGGATATTTCAAACATGTCATGTTTTCTAAGATAGTATGCCCTTTCATGCTGTTACATATTTTCTCACTTTCTTGAATGTCTATATACCTACAATTTAACTCCTCCTTATCAAGGGAAAACCTTATCAAGGGAAAAGAAACCTCTCTAAATCTCCTCATGAAAGACAAGAACCATATCTTATCGAAATTCTTTTCAGCACATAGCACAGAACTTGTCATTAAGGATTTCCAAAAAAATCTTTTTGAGTGAATTGTAGATAAGGTTATTTTCATAAATATTTTCATAGTTCTTTAAAGAATCATGGAAGAGCCTTATGGAGCTAACAACCCTGTAAACCACCACATGAACGTATTTGTTAATGTTATTTTATTCTTCCATTGTCATGTCCAAACCATTCAAAAAATTTGGCATTTCAGAATTATATTCAGCCAGGGTACTCTGGAATGGCCGTAAGATTTATTGTAATATCAGCACATATTTATCCAAGTTAGCAAACAGCTGTTGCTTGGACTCCTCTGAGTGCTTCTCTGCTATTTGGCCCTCTTCAGGTACTACTGCCTCCAGAAACTTGAAAGTTAAGACTTAGTACAGCAGGGGCGTTCCCTAAGTAGTCTGCAACCATTCTGAATGGTTGTTGTCCAAGCCATACCAGTCCCTAAATACATACTGGATATCACCTTCGATGACCTAAAACTTAAACTCTTGTGTGCATGGATGTCAGTAATTTATATAGAATCGAGATACAGGATGACTGGGAAATTAGAGATGTATGTAATAAATCCCGATATTCTCTAAAGTATAAAATTAAAGATCAATAGGTCAAAGGTCAATTCATATTAAAAGATTATTTTCCAGATTCTTTTTAATCTCTAAAAATGTTTCTGATTCATTGGCATTGAAAAGAGATATTTATAATTCTTGCAAGAATAATCAGGCATGCTTTTAATCATCATTAATGTATATCACAAAAGTCAACAAATATAGTATCCATGATAATGATAGATTTGAGAGAATTTCAGTGAATTTTTTGAAATCTGCAAATTTGAAGATATTCTAAAGAATTATCTGCAAAACGATGCTTTCGTCCTAAAGTATTGGTCTAAAAACAAGAAGGCAAATGCTTAAGGAACTGGGCTGTTTAAGTATTAGCACTAAACATATAATTTATATACATTATTATCCTACAGCATATGTTCTGCTTATTTACCTCTTATTTGTTAAGGCAGTATGATACATTTTATGAGGCAACAAATTATTTCAGAGTGTGAGATAATTCTTTTAGTTGCAAATACTGCACAGTTAGGAAAAGGTAAAGCAATGAGAACAGTCCTGTGCTAATTTACTTAGAACTCCATCTATTGGTCATTTACCAACATATGCCCACCTGTTTCCCCTACTAGGAAATACAAGGCCATCTAACATGAATCTGTTTATACACAGCTTCATTCATTTTATTCAAGCTTTATTACTTAATTTCTGTTCAACATGGATGAACAAACATTTCAATATTCTTTCAGGAGACATGCTGTCACTATGGCTTTTGATATACCACATTATATATGGACAGTTTATTTCCTTTGGTCCAGCAGGTCAAAGTTAACTATCCACATCCACAAATAAAAATTCCACTGGCTGAATTTTAGGAAGTAGTGAAATAACTTTTTTAAAAAATAAGCATGACACATACTTCTTTTTGTATGTATGAAAAAATGAGTGATTTTGGCATATGTGGGCCATTTGAAGCTAGCTAGGTCCAACTCCCCAGACTACATTTTCTTCACCTTCAAATCTCTCCATTCACAGCAGTCTCCTACTTTAACATTTTCTATAAGCTATCTTTGATCTAAAACTGAGATTTCTTCATGAGAGGTCTCAATCTTTGGACCCGTTGAGAACTATGGGCACTTTCACCAAAATAGTGCACATACATACAGAATATTTCCTCTGAATTGAGGGAGTTTGATGACTACCTGAAATCCATAACGGATTCTCCTTTCTGTGACTGAGACTACACCTGTATACTTTATCACTACCTGTCTTACATCAAGAAACTTGACCAATTATTCTTCCCCTTTCTCATATTTTAAATTTACCTTTTTCTACAGAACAGGGTATTCATTTTAGAATAAATGTACAATTTTTCTCACTAAAAGAAGAAAAATCAAAGAAAAAAGGAAATTCGCCTTTTCAACATAGGTCCTACCATCCACAAATACACCCCCCACCCCATCTTTGCCTTTCATCCACTGGGTGCTGGCTCCCACACTATGTCTATGAGAGTGTTCATTCTAAAGCTACTAACAGACTTAACTTCCACACGAACAGAAACATTTCTGTCTTCACCTTACTTTTCTTTGCTGTAACAACTGGCGCTTCCACTACTCCTTGCCGCTTGAAGCTCCATCCGCAGTCGCTGCTGTGACATCCTTTGCCTGATCCTCCAGTCCAACTCTCTGGCTTCTCCTTCTCATTTCATTACTTTTCATCTGATTCTGCCCATTCCTTACATGTTGTTTTCCAGAAATCTATGTCTTATTTTCTCTCATTTTAGACTAGTGCACTGGGTGCTATTGGAATCCCAGTGAAGAGCTACTATAGTATGATGGTACTCGAGGCTCCATCAAAAACCAATTAAATCAGAATCTCTGGAGACAGGCCCAGGCATCTGCATTTTTTAGAAGAGTTGAAAAACAGTGCTCCAAATATTCTCTTTAAATAATTTTATTCATACTAACAATTTCAACAATACTTATATTTATGATTTATAAATATACCTTTTCCCCTCAGATCTCTCCATTTAGTTAAAGATCTATATACCCAATCTTTTTATGAGACATCTCCATAAACACCAAAATTGAACCCATTATTTTTCCTTTAAATTCTCTTACTCCTCTTGTTATTTTCCTTCGGTTACTTCCTCATCAAAATCTCATGTTATTTCTTGACTTAAATTGTTTCAATGGCACCTCATTGTCTGTGGCATAATGTCCAAACTGTCATGGGTAGGAGATGGAATACTCCTTTATCTGAGTCTCCCTTATCTGAGTCTACCTACTTCTTCAGTCTCCTCTCCTGTTCCACTCCTCACCCTATGCAGAAGCCTTAGGATAGTATATGTGGGTCCAACTATACCATAGCTCTGAACTTTGGTGCAAGCTACTCTCCATAGAAAATGATTATCTCCTGAACATTCTTTAAAAATGAAAGTTTACATCTCTTCCTTGTAGTCTCCTTTTCAGTCTCCTTATTCCAAACATTCTGTGCTAATCTTGGGGCCTCTTTAGATTGTTTACTAAACAAACATTAGGGTCATTAGTTCCCAGACCATACTGTAACCATGAAGCAAGTATCAATTTTCTTATTTGTCAGTTATAAGAGGAAGTAAAACTACCAGAACTCAGTTGTCTCAGCTTTATCCTTTTAATATCAGAGCATGTTGTTCTTCCTTCCTATAGTGTGGTGTATCAACTTCAAGGACAACAGGGGTGGGAAAAGATCCTTGGCTCAAAACATACAAAAAAATAATCATTTATATATAGATATTCTTAACATTGGTTAAACAGAAAGTCTATATCTTTGAAAGATCTATCAAATTCACATGTCTCTGATTCATAACTAGATACTGAGCTCACATATCTTTTTCATTAAGGTAGCTTTGTCTGCATTGTGTGCTGGACGTGGATGCACGTTTTAGGCTATTAGGCACTAACACTCAAGATAATGAAAGCTTCTATCACTAGATGAAGTGTTCATATATTTTTAAAAAGCCATACATAATAAAAAGGTGTCTACAATGTTAGGGGAAATGGAAAATGTTCAAGGAGAAGTGAATCTCTTTTTCAGCACTATTTATCCTTCAAGTTGGGGGAAAAAATGATAAAAGAAAGCATTGTAATTTAGAATCTTGACTTTGAATTTTTTTTTTTTTTTTTTTTTTTGGTGGCTGGCCTGAACAGGGAACCGAACCCTTGACCTTGGTATTCTAACTCTGTGCTCTAATTGAGCTAACCTACCACCCCATTGACTGTGACCATTTTATTATTATTATTATTATTTTATTTATTAAGAATATTTATGAGATACAAAGCTAATTGTCACCCCTCGTGCCCATGAAGTAAGGGCCAGCTTCGTACTGAGGGCATACCCATTACCTGAAATTACTTTTGTACCCCGTGTCCCCACCCAATTACCCCAACCTCCTTCCCCCACCTCCTCTTTCCCCCCACTGTGCTTTGTGGCCCTAGGAATGTTCCCTCCCTTTGTAAGACCACCACACTACTGTGGACAAAGGAGCCGAATAGATATTTTTCAAACGAAGACATACAAATGGCCAACAGATACATGAAAAAATGCTTAACCTCATAGTCATCAGGGAAATGCATATTAAAACCACATTGAGATACCACCTCACTCCAGTCAGACTGGCTATAATCAAAAAGATGGTGAATAACAAATGCTGGCGAGGGTGTGGAGAGAAGGGAACACTCCTGCACTGTTGGTGGGACTGTAAATTAGTACAAGCACTATGGAAAATAGTATGGAGGTTTCTCAAACAACTACAGATAGATCTTCCATATGATCCAGCAATCCCACTTCTGGGTATTTACCCAGAGGAATGGAAATTATTATGTCAAAGAGAAACCTGCACTACCATGTTCATCGCAGCTCTGTTCACAATAGCCAAGATATGGAACCAACCTAAATGTCCATCGATGGATGATTGGATAAGGAAACTGTGGTATATATACACTATGGAAAACTACTCTGCTATAAAAAAGAATGAAATACTCCCATTTGCAACAACATGGATGAACCTGGAGAAACTTATGTTGAGTGAAATAAGCAAAGCACAGAGGGATAAATATCACATGTGCTCACTCATATGTGGGAGCTAAGAGAGAAAGGAAGGAAAGAAAGACTGACTTTAAAATGTGATGATGTCATGTAGCACAAAATAAGGTAATCACCATTCAGATTGTTATTTAGAAATCATGACTATAGATTTATCTTTGACATGATTTTTTTTGTGCTTTATAATACTAAAGAGAAAATAACGAGTGTAAAGGGTTTTTTTTT